CGGGGTGACCTGTATGAACTGTGCGGAGGATCCTTCTCATCAGTCTCCGTTTCTGTCAAGCATAGACCCCTAAACTGAACCAAAACTTGCCATAGAGCTTCTGAAAGAAGGTACGACACACGTTTCATTGATCTACTGAAATCCCGAAATGCAGCCGCCGCGGCCAGAAGCGACGGCGTAGTCAGCGCGCGGCTGCACTGGTGCCTTAGATTTCGGGGGTTTCTGACCACTACTTACTTAAAGGATTAAAATAGGGAGGCATAATGTATAAGGGCCTGAAAAAAATAGGGTTTCGGGCTCCTTGATATTATAATTATGATAAGGGACCCTAGACAATAATATTGTTAATTATCTAGGCTTCTATATTACTGATATGTCCTATATGATCATCGAAACAGCCCTAAACCCTAAACCCCTAAACCCTAAACCTCCAAGCCTCAACCCTAAGTCCCCCGGTCCTTCAAGCAGGCCCTGCGATCTAGGAGTCAGGAAGCTTAGGGTTTGGGGGTTTAGGGTTTAGGCTAGAATACGACCAAATCCCAAACTCTTGAACTCGTAAACCCTGAAAAACAGGGCTTTCCCAATCCTAAAACCATATACCCGCCCGCCAACCCACTCTCGTCTTTTTGGAGTAGATCAGCGAAGGAGCCCCAGGCATCCCTAAGGCGTCTTTGGCCCCAGACTGCCAAGTTCCAGAGTTCCGCGGCTCTGGGGCTGGTTGCCAGTGGGCGGCTGGCCGAAAAACGGGAAACGGGAGGGCTGACGCTCGGCCGCGGCAAGGCTCTGCCGCAACGCCTGGGCCCTTGCTGGTTGCTCCTGCTTGGGCTCTGCCGCAAACCTCTGGCACTGGCACGCTGGCCCGTTGGGCTGGCCGTCTGTGCAACCTTTGCTGATCCTGCTAGGCCTCTGCGCTGTGCTGGTACTCTGCCGCAACAACCAGCCAAAAGGCTCAGGCCCTGCCTCCGGCGCCGAAAGCACACTTCTTCAGCCTTGCATGTATTCTTGCCTTACTTGTGCGAAGAAACATATACAGCCGCATGCTCTGAGAGTTGTAAGTGGGTGGCCTTGGCGTGCGTAAGCCGGCAGGCCGACGCGCGCCCACAGAAGCACTTTCGATTGGCACACCCTAAACTCCCTAAACCCTATAACCCCCTAAGCCCCAGACTCTAAACCCTAAACCCTTAACCCGTAAACCCTTAAACCCTATAACCCCTAAACCCTAAACCCCGAAACTCTGGGCCAGAGTGCTTTTGCATGAAGTTTGCGAAGACGTGCGGGTCGAGAGTGGCCTGTCTACGCTAGAGACGAGGCCACAGCCCATGTCGGGTTTGGTCGGTATTTTTGCGGGCTTGTTAAGGGTGGGCCACCGTCAATATTGCGAATCACCACGGAAGAAGGACTTCGAGCAACATTTAAGGCAGGGGTTTGGGCCAGGGTGACGGGCTCAGGAATGGGGGCCGCGTGCCCTAGGCAAGTAGCCCTTCAACTTCTTGGAATTTATGGGCTTAAGCCCCAGGCCCTAAACCCTATAATATAGAGGCCTGACGAACTAGCATCGGGGTTTGGGGTAGACCTATGAACCCTGCTATCCAAAAGCATGTTTGCCCCACGGCTGAGAAGTTAAACCACATGAACCTGTGTGTCGGGAGTCAGGCTTTCAGGCACTCCTTGCCTCTCGGGGACAGTGCACCATCTCACATATGTGGTTGGCTTTAGGGCTTAGCGGGTTCAGAGTTTAGAGTTTAAGGGTTTGGGGTTTAGGGTTTAGGGTTGAGTACCCTTGATTTTGGCGAGATGAGTGTCGAGCGCAGCATCGCTACGGCAGTTTTGCTGTGCAGTTCCTGCAGGATTGAGGGGTAAGGGTCCGCATGATCCGTCAAACCCTAAACCCTGAACCCTTCACCCTGAACCCTAAACCCTAAACCCAAAGCCCCATGAGTGCACCTCATCTGGCAAAAGGTATCCGGTGTAGCCCAGCAGGGGCGCCCTGTCCGTGATCAGTGGGCTGCCATGGTGTCTCATGGAATTTCTATCAGCACTAGCGCCCTAAACCCTAAACCCTAAACCCCTGAACCCGGTTCGAGAAAAAGGCTGGCAGAATCTACCAGCCGCCTTGAGAACCTCCTAAACCTAAACACCTCAAATTTCCCATTCTGAAGTGTACAGGGGCTTGGTAAAGGGGGCTCCAGTTTTTCGGCTGTGGGCCTCTGGCTTGAGATGGCCCCAGGTTTTAAGCATGTTTAAATCCTAACCCCAGAACCCTACACCCTAAACTTCAAACTTAAACCCCGGGGCACGGACTCCGAAACTGGAAACTCTGCAAAGCTCTGTTTTCGGCCCAGGCCTAAACCAGAAATTCAGTGCATGGTCAAGACTTCTGCAGATATGTTGCAGGCCACACAGAGAGAAATTGTAAGGGTTCCTACTTGGAGGGTCGGGGGGCTTGTAAGTAGGTAATAAGTAGACTTATAAGTACCCTGAGAGGGATCCTAACTGGCGTTATGATGCTTATACGTCTATAAAAATAGCGACTTACTAAAAGTCTTCAGACCCTCCAAGTACGGACCCTTGCCATGACATGGGCCCTGCCATGTCATGTCCATCCGGAAGTCCTGCATTGTCACAATGTCCTTCTCTAGTAGGGTTTCAGGAGCCCGGCTGCAATTTCTTCAAAGGATGTGACCAGAGCCTTTACCAACAAAACCACAACTGATCCCTTCATGCTGAGGCCTTGCACTCTCTTTTTTGCCATTGGACTCGAGCAGCGTCCTAACACTTGAATGAGTCTTCAACGCCCCCATACCCCCCAACAAGGGGCTAGGACGGGGACGGGAGTTTTCGTCTCACACATCCCAGAATACGATAATGGCACACACCCCCAGCGGGGCCTAAGACAAGTTTCAACTCAATTGGGACACAGGTGCCACGATGATCGGGACCAGCACCCTTCCCTCCAGACACAGTTAGGGTTCAAGGTTGCGGGATTTAGGGATTTATGTAGGGTCGTCCAGTTCCACCCACGTAGCAACGGACAATACCCCAAGCCACGGAACACTACGCATGCCAAATTGCCAAACTCTAGACCCCACAAGCCCGAAGCACTAAATCCCACAAACCTTCAACCAACCCTAATCTATTGGTGCGTCACCAAAACATGCTCTTGTAGCAAAGCCTCTAGGGGCCGACAGTACAGTAAGGTCTATCGGTCCAACTATCCTAAACCCGGACCCTAAACCCGTTTTAACCCCCTAGGCACATCGACGGTCTGGATCGAGTCAGGGATCTTCGCTGCTCCCACGCATTGGTAGCTACCTGCTGTCTGTTGGCAGTCAGGTAGAAACCCATGGTTGGCGGCACCTTTCACATCCTTACTAAAACAATGCAGCATAAGATAGTATAGGGGCCTCAATGATTAGAAGAGGGCCTTTGAGACATAAGAAGGATATATCATAGTGTATATATGACAAGGAACCCTACAGAGTACTGCTGGTAACTATTGAGGCGTCTATACTCTGCTGCAAGAAAACTGGGGCTTGATGCCGTTATGATTCATACATTCATTCGCGACAAACCACGCCGGCTACTGATGAGTGCCTAGCACCCGTGCGATCGGCCAAAAAGACGTAGCTTGCGTGCAGCATCAGAGGCAGCACCCAGCCGACCGCGGTGTGAAGTTTTGGCTTCGCATGGTCGGACCGCGGGACTTACTTCGTGACTTGGTGACTCCGAAAAAACCCGATTTGTGCTGGATTCAACTTCTGAAGAAATGAAGTCTCGCTTGGGTGAACGGTGCACTCTGCAACCCAGCAGCCGTGCGGCACTGGCAGGGTTGCTGGAAAAAGGGCATTAACAAAAGGAGAGCTAAGTGGACGGTCCGATCTTGACAGCGGTGACAAGGCCGATAAGGTCCAAAAATGCATCGGTAGACTTCCACATGGCGTCGTGATCCTAGGCTGTCGCTCGACTGAACCATGGCCCTGCGAAGTTCCTGGGCAAGTCATCTCTTCCACTAATGTTGGGGCCTCAATTAGTAGAAGACGGTTTTGGGGTGTATTATATACTTTATTGTTATTTTTAAGGAGGCCCCAAAATAGTTTTGGTAATCATTAAGGGTCCTCTCTTAGTCTGCTACTGTCTGAAGATCTACAGGCGTGTGGTGCTGCTGGTTTGTTCGTCAACTTGCTGAAAATGAAGATTAAGGTGAAGCAAAAAGCGACATTACAAAAGACACAGCCCGAACATGGCTCCCAAATGCGACCCAGCAGCCACCCATGCGGTTGGGACGCTGCTAGCTTCTTGGGTTCTTCATCAGAATCGCGCCGCCTGAAGTAAACCCTGAAAACTCTTATCCGGAAAACGCGAACCTTACACTCTTAAACCCTAAAGCCTACATCCCAAGCCCTGAATCCTACCGAAACCCGCCTTCGGGAAGCGACCTCCTTCTCGAGCTGTCGCCTCCCTGAAAACGTAGAGAGCTCCTGAAATCGAATTCTAAAACTCCCGAGTTTGTTGACTTTGCCGGCCTACACAGAATTTTCTGCTTTTCTATGGCTACAGATACATATATACATACATGCATACATACATACATACATACTTACATACTTACATACTTACATACTTACATACTTACATACTTACATACTTACATACTTATATACATACATACATACATACATACATACATACATACATACAGTCGGACATACCTACGCACATATGTATGTACGTACGTATGTACATACTTGTATACCTAAAGAAAGATGTACACATAATCAGATGCATAGACATAAGCCCACACCCACAACCTATAGATTCAAGTACACATATACATACGCACATACACACCCAGGAAGCCTTTGTAAGGTTGAGTCAGGGCTACTGCGAGTTAAATGGTGATCTTGAGCAAACACAGTTCTCATGATCTAAGACCACGTGTGCTGTGACGCGCTTCGCTTCCGAGTACGAGGTAAAATGCCGCAAAGCAGAAATAGCAGCTCCTTCATCATGTTCTCGACAAGAACTGTGTTGCGGTTGTGCAAGACCCGGTTCGGGGGCGCATTGACACTGGCACTAGTTGGCATGCTGTCGGAGAAGTAGGATTCTCGCGTTGCCAGCGATTCACCAGTATCCACGCGAGCTCGTCGGCACATTTCGGCTTCATCAGGTAGGGGTTCGCCTCCATTGCTAAAGCGGTCGTCAATTGGGAAAGCCGGCGGCAACTCCTGATCTCCATCGACCTCTGATGGCTTTTCGGGTGGGAGCATGGAGTTGAGGCTCGATCCCCATAACACCATGGCCATTGCAGGACAATGCACGGAGACTCTCTCTACGACCCGTCCTACTCGCTTCTCTGATTCGGTCCAGCGACGGTTTGGTTTCCGAGCATCGAGCATCATGACCCTGCAGCAAGCCACTAGAACGGCTGATGTTGCCGTCGATGCTGCTCCCGCGAAAACTCCATGAAGGTTCTTGTGAGACTGGCTCAGTTATAATGCCGATGATATCGAAACCATGCAGAGTAGCTTGACGATGGTGATGGCCACCAGCACCAGCACCAGCACCAGTCCCAACACCAGCACCGCCACCACCACCACCACCAACAACAACATTATCACCACCATCATTAACATCATCATCATCATCATCATCAGTAACGATGCTTCTGCCTGGTAGTTACCACGGCTATTCCCGTTGCATCGTTGCTGCCACTACCATTCCAATCTGCTCTATCTTATCTGTCAGTGCTCACTTGAAGCCCGCTTTGATTCTTTGATGGGAGGGCAAGGCCCCAAACGAGTCCACGAATTCCAAACCCTAAACCCTAAGCCCTAAGCCCTAAGCCCTAAACCTTAAACCCTAAACCCCAAGCCCAAAGCCCTACACCATAAACCGTGGATTCTGAAGGAGCGCTGGCTGAGTCAGGAATCGAGGGGATAAGGCGACTCCGGCGGTGCCTTTCGGTCACTTGAGAATGTCCGTTCCCTAAGCGAATAAACTCAAAGCACACATGGAGGCTGATACATACGGTTGATGATCTAAATCCTTACCCATGGAAAGGAATAGTCTATCATTCCCATAGTTTAGGGTCCTTAAAGTACTGCAGGATTTCGATCATCAACGGTAGTTAATAGTTTTAAGCAGCAGGATTCCAAAGAAGTCGAGAGTCGGTGAACACGGCGACAACCTCAACGGCTCGCTTACACAGAAACAGGTCTGCCTTCTCCTGGCCTTTTAGGGTTTAGGGCTTAGGATTTCATCCACGCAAAAGGAAGCCTTATAGGAGCTTTAGAAGCACCCTACCGTGAGCCCCAAAGAAGTTCGAGGCGACAAGGCGCAAGGCAAAGAGACGTTGCCTCATGACTTCCCACACGAACATCACGTTGTAGGCCTGTCGGAAAAGGGTTTAGGGTTTAGGGTTTAGGGTTTTTGGACTTGGATCGTAAGGGTAGGGCTTGGGATTAGAAAGTCGAAGGCTTCGCGTTGCAAGGGCCGGGGGTTTAAAATTGAAGATCGCTAGGCTTGAGGTCTCCCTGTAACCCTAAACCCTATAGCCCAAACCCCAAACCCTGAACCCAAAGCTGTACGGGGAGATCCGGGCTTCTAGTTTCGGGATGATCGAGTTTGGGCTTACGGTGCCTTAGATTCCCAACTTCCCAAGATGGCAAGAGCCCCGAAACCCCCGAATGAAGGCTTAGGTTTCGGGTTTAGCGTTTCGGGTTTTGGGGCTTTGGGTTTCGGGTTTGGGGTTTAGGGTTTCGGGTTTTGGGGTTTAGGGTTTTGGGGTTTAGGGTTTAGGGTTTAGTACATCAACTATGTTACAAGTCCTACGAAAGCTGTTGAACATCTTCAGGCTACGACGAACATCTACGAACCAAACCCTGATGGGGATGAGCGCAATTGAAAGCGCTGTAGATTTCGCAGGGAACCCGAAATTCCGTGGGATATCGAAGTTTTCGGACGTTTCCATCATTAAGCACTCAGACAGTCTTCAAGCAAAACACCCGCTGACAACTGCCAGGGCCCCCCCCAATATATCCGACCCGAAGTCCTGCTCTGCTTTAGCGGTCCCTGTTAGTTAAAGGAAACTACAGGTGGGGAGTTTAGGGTAAAAAAAGGGGCTTCTATGAGGCTTCTATAAGGTATATCGACCTTCTGTAAGGCTCCTATAACGGTACCTACCCACCTGAAGATGTCCTAGATGTTAGAGGGTGTTCGTACTTAGGATGTTGCAACATCAAGGGTGGGGTATGCAGATCGCCTGTTTTCCGGAAAGTCCCCAACTTGAAAGCCAAAGCTGCACACAGAGACCCCAAAGCCTTAAACCCTAAACCCTAAACCCTAAACCCCTAAGCCCCTAGACCTTAAACCCTAACCCCTAAACCCCTAAACCCTAAACCCCTAAACCCCTAGACCTTAAACCCCCAACCCCCTTAAACCCCAAACCTTGAACCCTAAACCCTGAACCACTAGACCTTAAACCCCTCAAACCCCCAACCCTAAACCCTAAACCCCTACATTCCTAAACCCCTCGGCCCTAGACTTTCAACCCCTAAACCCCTGAACCCTAAACCCTAAACCTTAATTAAGGAATATACCTTAAATCATAATATTAAGGCCCCTATAATTTAGGGTATATTCCTTAAGTAAGGTATATTGGGTTCTCTGGGTTCAAGACTGCTTATTTGAGCCCCAACCCTAAGCACTAAACCCCTAGACCTTAAAACCCTTTGACCCCCAACCCTAAGCACTAAACCCCTAGACCTTAAAACCGTTTGACCCCCAACCCTAAGCACTAAACCCCTAGACCTTAAAACCGTTTAACCCCCAACCCTAAACCCTAAACCCCTAGACCTTAACACCTTTAAACCCCCAACCCTAAACCCTAAACCCTAAAACCCTAAAACCCTAAAACCCTAAACCCTTAAACCCTTCTTATTTGAGAACCGCAAGTCTGGGTTGCACTTCAGGCTGTGCCCCCGAACCCTGCAACCCTTGAGCCGAGGATCCTCTCTGAGGGTTTAGGGGCTTCGGGGTTTAGGGGCTTCGGGGTTTTAGGGTTTAGGGTTTGGGGCTCTTAGGGGTGTTAGGATTGAGGGTTTTGGGTTTAAGGGTTTAGGGGCTTCGGGGTTTAGGGCTCTTAGGGGTTTAGCGGTTTCGGGGTTTTAGGGTTGAGGGTTTAGGGCGCTTAGGGTTAGGATTTAGGGTTTAGGGGTTGAGGGTTTAGGGGCTTCGGGGTTTAGGGGCTTCGGGGTTTAGGGGTTTAGGGGTTTAGCGGTTTCGGGGTTTAGGACTTCGGGGTTTTAGGGTTTAGGGTTTAGGGGTTTAGGGGTTTAGGGGTTTTAGTGTTGAGGGGTTTAGCGTTTAGGGATCAGGGATTTAGGATTTAGGATTTAGGATTTAAGGCCTGTGGTGTAATTAGGGTTGGTGCCAGTCCCACAGCAAGCCAAGTCAATCTGAGCTTCCAGGCGGGCCCCGTCAATGATCCTTTTCAGGGACTGCATGAAACCTGTCGTGGCCCCTGGAGGCCCCTGGAGGCCCCTGGAGGCCCATTGCAACCAATTGAATCTCTTCTGGGCTCTTGTTAGGGGATTTAGTTTAAGTTACCATAATGAGGAAACCATAGTATTTACTATAGATCCCTATCATGGTAACTTAAATTAAAATCCCCTAACAAGAACCCAGTCATTGAGCAACAATGGTCTTCGTTGAGGCTTCTGCGTGCGCAGCCTGGCCTGGGACGCCTGAGAGCGCCATAGCCCTCAACGGGCCACGACAGCTGTCACGCCGTCCTTGAAGGGGGGTTTAGGGTTTGGGGTTTAGGGTTTAGGGGGTTCATTGACGGAGCTGCCATAGAAACCTGTAAAGTCAGGCGCATCGGCAACACGCACCACTGGCTGAGGCGGATCTGGTACTTCTCTTCAATGTTCGTCGGCAGGTCACTCATGGACTCCGAGTGCTCACCGGGGGTCACGGCGACAGTTGGAACATGTGATACGCGCAGATGATCAAATCCCAAACCTTGAATTTAGAACCCGCCGCAAGTCTTACCGGGACTGAGCAAAACCCTGAACTCAAAACCTAAAACCCTGAACTCCAAATCCTAAAACTCTAAACCCTATAACCCGAAGCCCTGAACTCCAAACCCTAAAACCCTAAACCCTATAACCTGAAGCCCCTGAACTCCAAACCCTAGTCTTCAACAGCGTTTGGAGTGAGGCGGAGCCCTGCCTGAGGGCTCTGGGGGAACCATGGCTGTCCGTGGTAAGTTTCACAGTTTAGGGTTTAGGGTTT